GGAATGGCGGCGCCATGGACTGCAGTGACGAGACCAAGGATTTGCAGTCCAGTCTGTGAGTATCGAGGGAGTTCTGGATCCTCGGGATAAGCTGCTTCGTCTCCCACTTCTGGGTCGGGTATGAAATTTGGCCCTACCCTTTCTGCTTCGTTGGTGTTGACTGTCGCAGGTGTTACGCAACCATTGTCGGCGAAATGGTAGAAGACTTCGGTGTTGTTAATGTCGCGAGGATTTTCCTCATCCATGGGCACGTCGACGGAGCAGTACGGAAGAGGTCCGGCTTCCTCCGATGCGTTGTCGACGTTCTGCTCATCCCAGTCTGCTTCATCCGCTGCTGACGCGAAGGCTCGGTCACCACGAAAGCCACCGGTGAGGTCCTGATTCTCGTGCAAGTTGGCGAGGTACGTCTGAAGGGTGAGTCGTTCGTAGAAGATCAAATCACGTGCTGCTACTGTTTCTTTTGTGTGGACGTCGAAGATTCTCCATGCATTGTAATTTTTCTCGATGCCGAGGTGTAGTCCCCACTGTGCCCGTTGCGAAAATCTTCCCGCTCGTGCTTCTGGGGGTCTGTACTGTACCATGCACCCGAAAACTCGTAACATTTTTGTGCTGCCCTGCTTCCCTGTCCACAGCAGATGCGGTGATGCGCTGTTCGGGAGTGACGACGACGACAACAAGTTGTGCAGTATGAAAGCATGGTCCATTGCTGCTGGCCACTGGTGGTTGGGTAGCCGCATGCCACGTAATAGTTTGTGCATGCTGTTCTGCAGAGTCCTGTTCATTCTTTCTGCAACACCTTGCTGCTGATGTGCGTAGGGAAGGGAGAGGAGTTGCTTGATCCCCCTTTCCGCCAGGAACTGCTTGAAGCGCTGAGAGGTGTACTCGCCACCTCCGTCTAACTGGAAGCTTTTCAGTTGCGTTCCAGACTCTCTCTCTGCTATCGGTAGCCAGGCGGCGAATGCTGCGAGCGCCATGTCGCGGCTAGGTAGGTTACGATGCCAGACGTATCGAGTGGCGGCGTCGATGAAGGTGATGGTGTAGTTGTAGTTGACTTGTCCTGGTTCGCGATTGTAGAGGATGTCGCTGTAAACCTTTTCAAGTGGTGCGTACGCTGGTGCGCTCGGGTTGTGATGTGGAGCGAATGGTCGATGAGGTAAGTCAGCTTCTGGGCATATAAGGCAAGTCCCTCGTGCCTTTTGGAGTTCTCTGCCGTCGGGTAGAAGTAGAGAGTCTTTGTCAAGAACTCCTGCTCTTATCGTGTTGTTTAAAACCGTGTTGCTTGGATGTCCTGTGCGTGCGTGCCAGATTTCTTCAGAGGCGCGGTGTCCGGGTGAACGTTGGTATGCGTCGGAGTTGGAGTAAAAACTGGCGACGAAGTTGGCGCTTCGGTGGACTTCACGTTGAGTCGGATTCAGCTGTTGCGCGGGTGTTGGTGGTGCTTCGTCGACTGTGACTGGTGTCGTTGTTCCTGCTGCTGCCGATGTTGTTGCTGCTGCCGATGTTGTTGCTGCTGCCGATGTTGTCTCTGCTTCTGGTGTTTGTTGAATCGTTGCTAACGCTCATGTTCGTTCTGCTTCAGGGATAGTGTGGGAGTACCAGAAACCTCCCGGGCTGAAGTCGGGGTCGAGATCCGGAGGGTGTGTCCAGTCGGTAAAGTTCACGATGGCGTCGCTGTCTGCAGTGCCCAGGTCAGGAACGAAGTCGAGGACGAAGACATTGTTCTTCAATATTGCTTTCCCGATGTAGAGACCGCCTCTCCCGTGGTATAGCTTGAACTCTTGGGTGGTGCTGTCGGCTTCCAGGTGAATCCCCTTCGCCATCAACTGGCTAACACTCAGTAAGTTGTAACCGAGTCCTTCAGCGATGAGTACCTTTGACATGTGCAGTATGACATTTGTTTCTCTTGACTGAAGCTGTACCACTCCTTGTCGTCGTGTGCGCAGGTTTTGATTGTTGGCGACCGTGATGACAACTTCTCGTTGGAGTCGGTGTTCGCGTTGTACGAAGCGTCCGGACGAGCACATGTGTTGCCCGCAGCAACTATCCAAGAACCAAGTGTCTTGGCCGGACGGTTCACTTTGAGCGATGGCGGCGTAAGTCGGATTCGGGTGGAGTGATTCGCGGCGGGGCGTCCTGTTGTCGAGCTCCTCTTCTGGTGAGTAGTGGGGTGGTGACTCTGTTATGCAAGAATCGTTTATCTTGACCATGCAGTTGACTATGTTTCTTGCTCCTTGTGCAGGTTGTCCAGTTGAAGTCGTTGAAGCTTGAATCGTGGTTGTCGGACTTGCTTGTGTCGAAGCAACTTGGGAGCTTGAAGGCCGCAGTTGTCGCTGTGGTGTTGTCTGACGGGACGGGCAATGCGTGCGTGGATGTCCTAATGTTTTGCAGATGTGACAAAACGGAGGTACTGGCTTCGGCTGCTGCTGTCGGTTGTTGTAGTTGTTGTGTCGTCGCTGAGTATGGAAAGCGAACTCCGGTGCTAATGCCCTTTTCTTGTGCCTTTCTTCTTGCAGGTCCATGTCCTGCTGCTCGGCGTGGATTTCGGCGCAAAGTGCTGCTTCAGAGATTCTTCCGTGGGCTCGAAGAATTGCTTTGGTGGCGCGCCACTGAGGACCGAGGCCACCGATGATGACTGTCACGAAGGCGTCTTCAGAGATTGATCCTCCGCATCGAAGAAGCTTGTCGCGCAATTCGCGACATCGGCTGATATACGCCAATCCCTTTTCTCCTGGTTTCATTTCAACTGTTGTCAATTGCGCCATTAACCTGCTCTGGTTTACACTGTCTGTTGCTTGATACAGGTTCTTCAGATGGCCGTACGCGAGTTCCGCCGAGTTGCCGAAGTTCCGGTAAGAGCGAATGTTCTGCTGCTGAGTTGGTGTGATGTTTCTCAGTAGAATAGTATACGCCATCATCGATTGATACGTATACTGCTGCTTCTCATACTGTGTGCCGTTTGCTGGATACTGCAGGGATCCGTCAAAGAAGCCGAGTATCTGCGCGCCCTCCATCATCAGCTCGAATTCAAAGGACCAGGTGAAGAAGTCCTTTCCGTCGAAGGGTCTTCATGTTTGCAGTTTCAGGACATGCGCGAATTGTGACTGAACTTGTAAAGCGTCCATTGGTTTGTCTTGCGCAGGTGAAGGTTGAGGCAGGAAGCTGATCGACCCGCGCTCGTACGGGGCAAAGGTGGGTTGCTGCTGTTGATTCCCTCGCGCATATGACGATCCGTCAAGGCTCATGGGTGTCGCTCCGTTGTTGCTGTTGTGTGTCTGTGCAGGTCCCGACTGCTGGTGTTGCTCGTAGAAGGACATGAAGGAGAAAAAATTCTCCATCATGCTCTGGTCGAAGTCAGAAGGATGGTTCGTGGGGGTCTCGGTTGACGTTCCCCTTGGTCTTGCTGCCGTGCCTTCCTCTGTCTGCAGGCCAGAGGCTGGCGGTGGAGTAGGAGTAGTGCCCGAGGAGCCATTAGGGGAGCTCCTTTCCTTGTTTGTTGCCATGTCTTGTAATGATCAAAAAGTTAGAGTTTTCCCCTGTCAGCTCTTATACCATGTTGGGCTGAGAAAGCCCTTAAGGATCTTTGCAGAGGATAACCCTGGGTAGGATATTTGTAATAGCGGAAGCGTTTAATGAAGTTTGTGAACCGACCTTGCACTAGTGTGTGAGAGCAAAGTGGATTAAATTAAACAAGCAAATACAAGGTTTTATATAAGAGTACAGGGAATACGAATGGATAGATAACTGTATTTGCTGTTGCGATTCGATACAGTGCGACTCGGGCAACTGTTCTGTAACGAGTCAGTTGTGTGTCCTTAACTGTCGCGCTGTAATTGTCGAGTCAAAGGTCGCTGACCTTTGACTTTCCCGTAACCTCCAGGCGGTTACCCTAACCTCCGAGGTTTGACTCGATGCTTCGATTCGGACTGCTTCGCTAGTGTCTTGGGTTTTGACACGACAGAAGCGCACTAAGACTTATTGTTTCCAACAAAGTGAAACCACCACACTCTACCAATTGGCTCTTGTTGTCATTAGTTAGGTTTTTGGAAGACCAACACTTGCAAGAGTCATTCATCTATCACATTCTAGTCCAACTTACAGGATAGTTTGATATGAGAAAGCTTGGACTCACGTAGGCAATGGTATATTGTACATGGGCTCATCGTATAGCGCGTAACTTAATTTATATGATGAAATACACAATTCTGCATCTGGTCATGAATCCATTTGTACATAGAAGAGCATATAGGCTTCTTTCTGGGATTGAGAGGCAGTAACATCAGCCTCTGGTACCTGCAGGTTGGATTCGAAGAAAGAGAATTTTTGCGCAAGGAGAGGCACGAACGTGAGCACGCATGCTGGGTTTTGGGGTAGGCAAGAATAGCCTGGTGCGAGGGGGAGAATAATTGCTATTGCAGCAACGTGCGTCCACACAAGATCGCTGTCAACGTTGTCCGAAGAACTCACGTTTCTGATCACAACGCCATCATCGAGCTGCGTCCAACCAGGCGGTGACAGGCTGTCATCCGCCACGTCAGCTATGTAGTGACCGTGCGCCACAGAGGTCCCCGTGTGTCGCACCACGGCCCGCAGAGCGAATACGGAGCTATCACGTCGCTGTGGTTCAGCGGAATGGAGGGAGGTGGAAGCAACGTCACATGGAGTGAAATTTGGAAGGGGAAGTGGGACAGTGGCATGCTGCCCGCCATGCCGGCGTGCCCACGTCCATGGCAGAAGAAGTGGGGTTAAAGGAGTAGAGGAGTAAAGAAAATGCAGGAAGAATATATTTTCAAACAGTCATAACATCCCTCTCTAATTATACAGCCAAAACGATTTTTTCCTGCTAACGCACTTCCTCTCCGAGCCTGAGCAATATGATCGGCTCACCTTTTCTCCTAGAGAGATAGTCTCGTGCATTGCTGGTGCGCAAAAGGGACCTGATGTGGTGAACGGCGAAGTTAGCAGCACAACAGGGAAGTAGAAACAGAGAGAGTCAATGCGCATTATGGCAGCACAAGAGGGTGCAAACGGAGACAATGGCCGGAGATAGAACAATATCGCGGCATAGTGATGCCCATGTGGCACCACTCACCCACGTCAAGTGTCGTGGCAATCTCGACCCGGTCCACATTCTTCCTGCACTCATACCGCCCCCTGTTGGCCTCCGTTTCCTCCATGCCACCACCACCACCCACACCGCTGCTGCTCTCCTTGCCACCATCCACCATGACGCTCACAGGGCTGTCATCGCCTGCATCACCTGCATCCTCCCCAAGCACACCAGCTGCCCCTTCCAGCAGCTCTGCCCAATCCTCCTCCACCTCCCCACACTCCCTAGCCTCGCCCTCCTCCCATTGCCCTGCAATGTGCTCTGCCTCCCTCCCCTCAAGCTTCATGTTTCTTCTGTCAGCCAGCTGCCCCTCCATGCTCTCCCCAGTGTCCATTCCCTCTGCATCTCCACCCACCATACTCACGCGTGTGATCAGCCTGCCGCCACCCTTGAGCCCACACACCACCCCCTTAGGTGCCACCTCCTTCAACACCACCGGCCTGCCTGCAGCCTTCGCCAGGGAGAAGGGGTTGACCGACGGAGCACCAGCAGCCGGCACAAGAGGAGAGGAGGGGGAGCGAGAGGAGGCAGGGTCGGTTGTAGCATGAGGCGCCTTCCCAGACGGAGCAGAGGGCGGAGCTGTCGCTCTTGGCACGGAAAATGGGTTCTCTTGAGGGAATGGAGGGGAAGGGTTACGAGGAGGGCGGGATGCGAGGGGGCGTGTGTGTTGAGCAATCGAAGGGGACGGAGCGGCAGGTGGCTGGCACGATGGAGGCGGTGGGATGGTGGTGCTGCCTTGGGGGTTGCCACGGGAGGCAGTGGGCTCCTCGTGGCACAAAGTGGGTTTCTCAAGGCATGGAGTGGGGTGGAAGGTGGTTTGGAATCGGTTGAGATGGAGTATGAGGATGTGTGGCAGGCGCAAAAAGGCTCGGGAGATGCGGCACGGTGCAGAGCGGTGACAGTACGTGCATACCCTGCCTTGTACTGTCTCGTCCTGGAGCCATAAGGGAACAAACAGAACCAGCAAGAAATCAAGAACACGAAACGGGACTTAGCTGGTGCCACTGAGAAAGACATGGATAAGAATCAATGGCACACGATAAGACGCAGGTTGTACCTGGAAGAAGTGTTGCAGCAGTGCTGAGAGAGGATGGTGAGTGAGCGAGGCGCCAGCAGCACTGGGATCGGTATCACTGCCTCTGCTACCCCCACTGCTACGAGCTGTAGCAATAGAGCGAGCAGGAGCAGCAGCAACTGCAGATGCAGCAGTGGTAGAGTTAGGAGCAGGGCAGGCAGGGTAGGAGGGGTAGGAGGAGGGGATGGGGAGTGAGAGACAGAGGAACTCCTCTTCTCCACTCTCTCTTCCTCCACACTCCTCACACTCCCTCACCACCCTCACCGTTGACAGGAAATTGCTGCCAACAGCACACCCATTGCCGTCCCCAGTGCTCGCCTTCTCCACCCTCTCGTCCCCGCCTCCATCCTTCTCTTCCCTCTCTCCTCCGCCCTCTTCCTCATTCCCCAGTCCTCCTTCCTTTCCTCCCCCCGTCCAGCCTTCAACGGGGGTTGGCATGTGGGTGTGAGCGGGAGCATGGGCGAGGGTGGGCGTGCGGGCGTGGGCGGGAGAGGCGGCGGCAGCGGCGATGGTGGCGGCTTCAGAGGCAAGGCAGTGCAGCAGCGCGCACAGGAACTCGTGTGCGTCCTGATGGGCACGGATGGGATGGGGGGGTGTGAAGGGGGGAGGGGGGTGAGATAGGGGTTTAAGGAAGGGCGAGATGGGGGGTCTGAGGGGGAAAGGGACGGGATGGGTGAATGAGAGAGGAGGAAAGAGATGCTGCTCTCACCTGCTGCTCCCACCTGCTGCTCTCACCTGCTGTTCCTGACCCTGAAAGATGGGAGCGCTGCGCCCCACTGCCCTCTTTACAGCCCTCGCATCCGCCACGCCACCCGCTGTCCCCCTCAATCGGCTACTGATGCTCCCCACAGTGGCGCCACTGCTGTTGCCATGTGGCAGGCCCAGCAGCTGCCACGTCAGCCGCTGAAGCTCAGTGGTGACTGGGAGGCGGAGGGAGGAGGAGCGGGCGAGAGAGGCGGGGAGGGGCAGGTGGAGGAGGTGGGAGAGGAAGGGCGGAAGGGAGGCGAGGGCTTGCAGTGTGGCGTTGACGTAACACATGTTGATTGCATCGATTCTGCTGTTGAGGAGACTGGTGGTGGGGCGGAGGAAAAGGAGGGCTAATAGTTGGGAAAAGGAAAAGGGGAGGAGGGGGGGGGGTGGATAGAGGGAAGAAAGAAGGTCACGGGAAATGTGGATAGCAACGGGGCATGCGCTGCACGCGTGGCCCGGGGACACACGAGCGAGGAAACGTGGGGGTGGGGGAGAGTGACCAGGAGTGGAAGAGAGAGAAACATTTGTTGCGGGTGGAAGGGAGGAAGAGGAAGGTGGAGAGCAGAGTGAAGAGAAGCGCAGAACGTGCACAATTAACGAAGGCGAGGAGGAGAGGGAGAAGCGAGAGAAGAAGTGGAGTGGGGAGAGGAGCGGCGCACCCTATCCTTGATCGTGGTGTTATGCAATAGTGGCGCCCATCCTGGCCGTGCCGTGCCGCATCCCCCCCGCCACCACAGCGGCTTGCAGCACCACCTTCCCCTACTTCCGCCACGCACTCGTTTCCCCCCACCCCTCTGCCGTGCGACTTCCCTGCATCATGCTCACACGCCCACGCCCCACCATGCCCCACACCCGCCTGCTTGCTCCCTGGGCCCGTTTCCACTGCCTGCTCGCGTGCCCCAGTCTGCCCACCCGCCGCTTCCTCGCCTCGCGTCCGCCCTGCCTGCCCGCGTTGCTGCCCCACCTGCTGCAGCACGTAGCTTCGCTGCACCTTCGCCGGCCTCTCGTCACTCCTGCTGTCCACGTCAGCATCCATCTGCAGCCGACGCTTCGCCTGCTGCGGTTGCGGCCTGCACGAGCCTTTAGGTCCGGGCCGCCACACACCTGCCACTCCGCCGCACATAGACACCGACATGGAAAGGTGGAGCAAGATGAAAAGGTGGAAGGGGGGTAAAGGGGCCTTTGCTCAAGCAGTCACGGAGCACATTCACATAGTGTGCCTGCGTGAGCAGTGACGGCGAATGCACGATCGGTGGAGCGGCGTGGCGATGATGATGCGCGTGCCACTCGAGTGCTGCAGTGTGACCCATGGATGCGTGGAAACATCAACTGGAGGGAAAAGCACAAAGAAACGAAATCGGGAGCTTGATAGCGAGAGAAGCATGCGGGCGGGAAGGTTACAACAGTCGCGAATGGTGCGCGACTCACCATCGCCATCTTGAAGGCCGTCGCAGAACAACTGGCGCGATATCGGCCGCTTCAGCCGTAAATCCGCGTCCGCCTTGAACTGCCCGTTCGACAAGCTGCTGGGAAGCGCTGACCCTCCTTCTCTAGCCTTCCGCTCGTCTCTCTCCCGCTCCTTCCGTTCCTTCTCCTGCCGTCGCTTCCGCTCCTCCATTTGCTCCTGCGCCTGCTGCCGCTCCCTCTGCGCCGCCAAGCCCGCGAGCGCCACAGCCCTGCCTCGTCCTGCTTATAGCGGGGATACGAGGGGTGACAAACTCGCACAGATTAGGTTCGTCGCAAATGCGTTCCCTCGCATTGAACAACAGAGGCGTCCGCCGGCGCGCCGCGTTACTAGATGAAGCGACTCAGACATTCGATTTCGAATCGTTTCTACTAGAGACACCAGGGAACGCAGTGAACGCACGAGATATTGCCAGGAAGACTTCTGAGACGCGAGTAGCAACGGCAGCGGCGCGCACCGTGTTTGGCGCATTTCAGCAGCAGCTGGTACGCCGCGTCCGACGACGACAGCTTGCCGCCGCTCGCCATGCTCTCACACGCGGCGTCCACGGCTCCAACTCAAAGCTGCACGCACAGCACGCCGTTCGAAACGTTTAACAAGGGCCGTTCAATTCCACGACGGCCCTTCGCTGTCAGCCTCACCGCAGCGCTGCACGTTGGCGTTCTATCCGTCGCAACTCGCCGAGGCGCGCGCTGCTGCGCACGCCGTGAGGAAACGGTACGCGCTTTGGAAGGGATAGCTAGTTACAAGCGGACTGGGCTTGGGCTGCAATCGGCATGTGGCTCGCATGTACACCGTTTCGGCAGCTGGATTTCGAGCTTCTTCAAATGTGTGAAGCGACTGGGACAGCAAACTGAATCAGACGCTGCAAGCAGCAAGACGCCTTGGGCAGTGGGCCTTGTTGCAGAAGGCTTCACTTGGAAATCCAGAACAGCCCTACGATAGCATGCAGGCGAGGGCCAGAATCTCGGTTCGTCAGCACTCAAGTTTTCACGATTTGAAATTCAAAACAGCTTCAAGCATGTACGAATCTTCAAGCTAACGCGATTAGCTACAAACGATGCAACAGTAACCTTCCCTATATAAGACACAAGGGCCTAACAATAAATTCCAGTGTAATTATTTACAAAGCCTGGAATTATTTTATAGCCCGAGTCTAGAATGGCAACGGTTCAAGTTCAAGATTCTTGAAGCTGAAAAAGCCAAAAACAGGGTAACCCGGTTTGGGCCTTCAAACCCTCGCTCGCGACCACCGGAAACAATGTTTGGATGGGGAATTCTGATTGGCTAAGATCAACATAGACAGAAGTAATCAACCCTTTCGGCCGCAAAGCCAACCAAGCAGACTACTGTTCATACTTCAGCAAACTTGAAAGTGGGAATGACCATAATAGACTCGATATCTAGGAGGCTCCATAGCTTAGAAAATAGGGTACTTGATTGTGTTGGAAATAAGTAACTTAAACGCTTCTGATGTGTCAAAACACTGAACCACAAGCGAAACGAATTACAACGAAGCATCGGTGAGTCAACCGAGGAGGTTGACAGAAATGTAACAGACGGAGGTTACGCGAAGGTCAAAGGTCGCTGACCTTTGACTCGACAAATACAACGCGACAGCAAGGACAAACAACTGACTCGTTATTGAGCAATTGCCCGAGTCGTCACTGTATCGAACCGCAACAGCAACAATAAAACAGTTATTAACTGTATCTCTTCATATTCCTTGTACTCCTATAAAAACTGTCATAATAGTAGGTAGGGGAATGACTAGAATGTCGAGTGATTTCGGTATAAGGAAGAACTCTAATGGGTTGTACCCCACATAGTCTACCCCACTACAGCCTACCCAAATTCATAACATACATAGATATGTTTGACAAAGTGGGGGAGGACCAAGGGGTCACAAGACCAGTCAAGAACAGCAAAGCAGCGGTATATATGGAGCAGCAACAGTACAGTAATCACTACCTAGCAAGAGCAAGCAAGCAGGTATATATATAGATCACAGTACAAGCAAGGTCACGAAGTGAGCAGGTGAGATGAAACAGGCACAAGGCCTAACATAGTACAGAATCGCTGATGATCACCAGACGGAAGCGCCTTGGTGAATATATCAGCAGTGTTGGCCCGGGTGGCCACGTAAGCAACACGAAGCTGACCACGCTGCTGTAGCTTTCGAGCAAGGAAGTAACGCAGAGCGATGTGCTTCGTTCTGTGCTCTAGACACAAGGTAATGGCAGCCTTGTTGTCTACGTACAGAACTGGAGGAGAACGAGGCCTCTCTCCCAAGTCAGTCAGCAGGTAGGTGAGCCAGCGTAACTCCTGTGCAGCCATGGCTGTGGCGTAGATCTCAGCCTCACAACTCGAGCCGAGAACAGAAGACGAGTGGGTAGACCGCCAAGAAACAGAGCCGCAACCAAGGCTGAAGGTGAAACCCTGTGACAACCGTTGCGTAGCCAGGTCGTCAACCCAAGACGCCTCTGAGTGTCCACTGAGGACAACCTCACCCCGTCCTCCAAGCACGAGCCCCATACCCAACGTACTGCACAAGTAGCGCAACACCCTCTTAGTAGCCTCCATGTGCTCTCGCCTCTGTCTCCCTGGTGCAACGTAGCGAGCCAGGATGCTAGGAGGGTAGGCAAGGTCAGGTCGAATGCTGGTCATCAGGTTCATGAGGTAGCCCACAAGCTCTAGATACGGGCCACTAGGCTCTACAGACTAATCCGAAGGCAGAGCTGAGAGCGAGTGACCGGTAGCCATAGGAGTGGACTGTGGCGAGGACCAAGTGAAGCCGAAGCGCTGAAGGACCTGCTGCACCATGTGTGACAGAATCAGTGTGATAGTGCGGCATGCTATGTCCCGGGTGATCTGCAAGCCAAGGTAGCTGCGCAGTTCACCCAGGTCTGTGCACGTGTGTTTCTTCTGCAGCTCCGACTTCACAAGGGCGAGTGCCTCAGTGTCAACAGTAGCAAAGACCAAGTCGTCGACGTACACGATGATGTAGAACGGCGGGAGCGAAGTGTCGGTGCGCAGAAACAGCGACGGGTCAGCAGTGGAAGGGGCAAACCCAAGAGCCGCATGTGTAGTTGTGAGGATCTAGGATCGAGTTCAGTAAAGAGAATGAGAATTGAGTCGAATTGAATTGAATTGAATTGAATGTCCACCTGGGTACAACACGAGGCTATATATAGGCTCGACACAAGGCCCCGTAACCAGGTGTTACGCGAAGGTTCCGTGGGTCGCGAAGCGTCCCGAACAGATCCTTACCAAATTCGGTAGAAGGCAATTCGGTGGCAACCGAAAAGCCAGAATTCGGTGCACGCAACCTAGCTCGGTGCTATAACTATAATAAAATATAGGAAAGCACCTAGCCTAGGAAATCAAGCAATTCATGCATGCATATGATTATCCTATGCTAGAAATAGCATGATAAAGTAGAGGCAAGCAAGCATAGCTGGCATAAGCCGTCGTACTCTCACACGTCCCCCCCTCAAAGCTGGGTGGCGTGAGATACACCCTGTTTGACAAGATAGTCCTTGAGAGCACGGCGTGCGTTGCCCATATCAGCTTCTGCAACCCAGCTGTCCTCAAAGGGGTCGTATCCCTTCCAGCGTATCAGGAACTCGAGAGTCTTGCCACCGCGGCGCCGATGAGAGAGAACGCGCTCGATCTCGTACTCGGGTTCATCCTGTATGAGAACAGGTGGTGGTGGCGGTAGTTGCCATCCCTGGAACTGTTGGTTGGGGTCCTTGTAGGGCTTCAGTAGCTGGACATGGAAAGCGTTGTGAAGCTTCCATGTATCTGGTAAGCGCAAGCGGAATGTAACTGGTGTCACCTGTGCCTCAACGAGAAAAGGACCACAGAAGCGAGGCCGGAGTTTGGATGGGAGGCGAGATAGGTTCAAGTTGCGCGTGTCAAGAAGCACCTGATCTCCGACTGCTACTGAGTGATCACGTCGCTGACGATCGGCATACTGCTTCTGGGAGTTTTGCATCGTGGTGAGACGTCGCTAAGTCTTCTCCCATAGCTGCTGCATGGTGGTGACGAAGTCATGTGCGGCTTGGACGTGTGCCGGTGTAGTTGGCTGCTGTGGTGTGAGTGGTTCCCGTCCGTAACACAAGAAGAAAGGAGTTTTCCCTGTGGCCGCATGTGATGCGTTGTTGTAAGCAAACTCTAGGGTTGGTAACTGTGTGTCCTAGTGGCTGACGTCGTCCTTGCAAGCTGTGCGCAGTAACTATTCAACCACTTGATTGAGTCGCTCTGTGTGTCCGTCAGTCTGGGGGTGGTATGCTGAAGACATTGCAAGCTTTGTCCCCAACAGTCCCATGAGATCCTTCCAGAACTTACTCGTGAATTTGGGGTCTCTGTCTGAGATGAGTGTAGCGGGGATGCCGTCGATGGTGATGATGCGGTCCAAGAAGAGTCGAGCAGTTGCTTCAGCTATAGCTGTGGCGTTGGTCGGTATGAAGTGACCCATTTTGGAGAACTTATCGATCACCACGAGGATGGAATCATGTCCCCGTGAGGTCGAAGGAAGCCCTGTGATGAAGTCGAGGCTAACGACCTGCCATGGCTGCTCCGGTACGGGTAGAGGCTAAAGTAACCCTGCTTTTTTCTGCTTGCTGCTCTTCATCCGCTGGCACGTGTCGCAAGAGGTGACAAACTGCTGCACGTCTGCTGCCATCCCAGGCCAGTAGTAATACTTCGCTATCCCTGCTAACGTCTTGTTGCTCCCGAAATGTCCCGTGTAAGGTACGTCGTGAAACTCCTCCAATAGGATCTGCCGTGGCGGGGCGTAATTCGGTACCCAAATCTTTCCAGAACCCTTCCTTACAGCTAAGTCTTTCTCCCACTGTAATAGCTTCTTGGTCTGTGCTGTAGCAATCTCTGCATCCACGGAGTACCCATGTTGGAATAGACCCTTGAGCAGAGGCTTCATCCCGGCGAGCTGGATGCCTGCTATATGTCCGGGGCGGCTCAACGCGTCTGCCTTGTTGTGTAGCCCGGGCTTGTAGACGATGTCGTAGTGGAAGTGAGTTTCCAGGAAGTCCACCCACCGCACCTGTCGTCGTGAGAGTGTCGGCTGTGACTTCAGGTATTTGAGACTGTTGTGGTCAGTATAGACTGTAGTCTTGGCTCCCTCTAGGTAA